AGCAGCACCTCCAGCAGCGCCAGCAGCACCAGCACCAGTAGCACCTCCAGTAGCGCCAGCAGCACCGCTAGCAGCAGCACCTCCAGCAGCTCCAGCAGCAACAGCACCAGCAGGACCTCCAGTAGCGCCAGCAGCACCGCCAGCAGCAGCAGTACCTCCAGCAGCTCCAGCAGCACCGCCAGCAGCAGCAGCACCAGGGACCGCGACACTAGGAGCGCCACTCCGGAGACTGCAGCGCCGAGCGTACCACTCTCGGAGCCGCTGGGGAGAGGGCAGCTCCCGCCGAGGAGGGGAAGCACTAGCACCAGCTCCAGTAGCACTCCGAGCTCCAGAAGCACCCCTCCTGAGGCTGCAGTACTGTAAGTACCACTCACGTAGCTGCTGCGAGGAGAGAGCTCCTCCAGGTGTAGCACGCTCAGTCTCAGCACCCTCAGGCTCAGTACCCTCAGACGTAGCACTCCCAGGCTCAGCACCCCCAGGCTCGGCACCCACAGACTCAGCACCCCGAGGCTCAGCACCCCCAGACTCCGCACCCCCAGGCTCAGCACCCCCAGACTCCGCACCCCCAGGCTCCGCACCCCCAGGCTCCGCACCCCAAGTAGGACAAGAGTCGACAGCTACCTCGACAGGCTCAACCGGGTCTACCTGGGACACACCTGAGGGAGCGGCACCCTGAGGGGGGGGGGGGTCTACCACAGCAGCACCTGGAGCGAGGAAGAGAGGCGGGGGGGGGAGCGGGGCAGTGCGGTAGGGGAAGAGGCGGTAGTAGGGGACGGACTCGTCGAAAGTGACGTCCTGAGAGGGCAGGACACGGCGCGAGGTGGTGTGGTAAAACTGCCAACCAGACGCGTCCGGGCGAAGCCAAGGAAGACACAAGGAACAGCGCGGGAGGAGAGCTTGTCCGCGGACGTATCGCGGACAAAACCTCGAGATCCCCAGACCCGAAACCGTGACGCATCGCCAACCTGTCCCGTCCAACGCAGTGTCGGCGAAGTCTCCGGAATGGAGACACGGGGCCAGAGGTTGAGCTGATGCGCTGCGTATCGGACCGCAAACGGCCACAGAAAGTGGGGGGGCAGCCGCATGGATCAAGGAGGTTCGAGCGACCTCCATGACCAGGCCAATGCGGCGCTCAGCAACCCCATTCTGCTGTGGAGAGGCCGGAAGCGTGAACGACTGCTCAATGCCCTGCCCCTGACAGTAGGCCCTCAAGAGGTCGGAGGAAAACTCCCCACCTCTGTCAGAGTGCAGACGCAGGACAGGAAAGTCCGAGTGGAACCTCTCGCTGAGCTGGAGACGGGCAGCGCGGATCCAAGGGATCAAAACATCAGTGATTTCACCCTTGGTGCGCAAGGGGAAGACCGTGGTGTAGCGCGAGTAGTCGTCAACAACTATCAAGAAGTACCTCTCGTGACCCTGTCCACGGACGCGGGCTGGGCCCCACACGTCCATGTGGAGCGTCTGCAGGGGAGCAGTCGTCGGGGGAAACAAGGAGGAGTGAGGAGCGGCGCGCTGCCGCCCCTCGACACAGGGAAGACAGGGAGGAGCAGGCGAGGGTGGGAGAGGAGGGAGAACCCTGGGAAGACCAGAGACAAGGTACCGTTTGTGCATGCCACGAAGGCGCTGCACTGACGGGTGACCAAGGCGGTGGTGCCAGAGGACGGTCTCGTGCGCCAGGGAGCGACACGAGCAGGGGGCAGACAGCTGACCTGACGCAGACGCAGACGCAGCTACCTGAGGGGACTCAGTGGTCAGTGTGTACAGGTCCGACCCCGACTGCCGAGTGAAGGTAGCCAGGTGGCGACCCGTCCGAGCGCACGTGCAGTGTGTCACGCGCTCGTAGGCAGGGGTAAACTGGTGGACACCCCCGTCCTGGAGCGCACTACCCGCCACCAAGTTCGTAGAGAACGAGGGGAGGTAGAGACTTGACAGTGTGCCCGACGGAACCGCAGGACAAGGGAGGACAGTGGAGGAGGTCGCAACGACCGGACCCCTAGAGGGGTCAGCGAGGGAGACTGCAACTGGCCGAGCAAGCTGCTCAAGGGCAGTGCGGTCACGAAAGAAACGGCGAGAAGCACCTGAGTCCAGTGTGAAGGTGTGCAGTGCCTCAGTAGACTCAGTACCAGGGGGCGCAGACTCACGAGCACCTAGAGCAGCAGCCTCACCAGCACCTGGGGCAGCAGACACGCAAGTACCTGGAGCCGCAGCCTCACCAGCACCTAGGGCAACAGACGCACTAGCACCTAGAGCGGCAGCCTCACTGGTCCGAATGCCCGGGTCGGGCGGAACACGCAGGTACTGATCACCCTCTCCACTAGTAGACAACACATACATGGCAGTGAGAATAGCATCAAAGTCAAGAGCATAGATATCAATGTTCTTCCTCATCAGATCAGCCCAGCGGGGCAGCTCAGTGGCACCAGGGAACTGAGTGCGCCAGGCGTCGTCGAGGCGGGAGAAGCAGCGCTGCGTGGTGTGCGCCCTCCCACACGTCTGGCCAGTGCGGTCACCAGTGCGGATGACGTACGTGCAGCTAAGGCCACCCCCCCCCTCTCGTGCTGTGAGTACCACTCACGAAGCTCCTGGGACGACGGAGTCTGCTGCTGGCTCTGGCCACCGCCAGCGCCTCCACGACCACCACCTCCGCCGCTGCCACCCCGTCCACCACCGCCTCTGCCGCCGCCGCATCCACCGCCGCCACCACCACCGCCCCCACCCCTGCCACCTCCCCCGCCGCTGCCGCCACCACCCCCACCGCTGCCACTAGTCCCTCCAGCCCCGCCACCACCCCCACTGTCGCCACCGCCCCCACCACCGCCTCCCCCGCCGTCCCCTCCGCCTCCCTTGCCCCCTTTGCCCTTGCCGCTGCGGCGCCAACTCGGAGCGGACGCAGTCCCGACCTTCTCAGCACCAAGGAGGTCGACAGCAGCAGCAGAGGCTACAGAGGGGAGAAGGGGGGAAGGGGAACACCCCTCGAAGAAAGGGGTGCGGGGGTCGCCACGAGAGGCACCTACAGCGACTATGCTAGTCTCAGCTGCAAGCAGTTCCTTCTCGAGGAGATCAACGGTGAGCTCAGTGGGGCAGCGAGCGAGGAAGTGGTCCCTGACCGCACGAAGAGAGTCAGGGAGACGGGTGACCAGGTGGTAGAGAGTGAGCCAGAGCGGGGGGGGGTTCTTGGCAAGAAACTCAGCGGGCATAGCGGCACGAAAGCGGGCCTCACTAGTGCGGAGGTGCGTGATGAGGTCAGCGACTGTGGCGAAAGCGGACAGGTCGGGAAACAGGTAGGGGAGCAAGAGACGGCCTAGCGCAGCAGAGGCAGGTGAGGAGTAGCGTGCAACTACAGCAGTGTAAAGTGCCTGCGCAGTTTTGTGCTGGCCAAAGTGCTCGCGCTCATCTACCGGCAGGGAGTTGCGAATAGCGAAGCGAGCGTGGGCGTCACGAGTCTGCCACTGGGAGCGGGCAGTACTGTCAGCAGTAGCAGCAGGGGCAGCAGCGAGTCCTAGTGCGTGATCGTACAGCGAGATATCCTCCTTGGCAGTGAGCTGGAGGAACAGGTGCAAGTCATCTAGCCAGGTGTCAAACTTCAGTGGGCGGCCCTCAGCATCGAAAGCGAGCACAGCAGGGCTAGCAATAGTTGCAGTAAGAGCAGTAGCAGTTGTAGCAGCAGTAACAGCAGTAGTGCCAGTAGTAGTGACAGCAGCAGTGGCGCGGCTCGGTAGGGCGGCGCGGCTCGGTAGGGCGGCGCGGTTCGGTAGGGCGGCGCGGCTCGGGCCGGGTGACGCGGTTCGGTGGGGCGGCTCGGCTCGGCTAGGCAGCGGCTACTCGAGGTGGGGCACGCGAGGGCGCGCAGGGCAGAGCGGGGCCGGTCCGCACGGGGCACGAAGTGGCGAGCTAGCGAGGGCGGGGCCTGGTCGCACGGGGCACGCAAGGGCGGGCTGGTGGGGCGGGGCCTGGTCGCACGAGGCACGCAAGGGCGGGCTAGCTGGGCGGGGCCGGTACGCGAGGGGCACGCAAGGGCGCGCGGGTGGGTGTGGGCCGGTCGCACGGGGCACGCAAGGGCGCGCACTAAGGGGCGGGGCCGGTCCGTAAGAGGCGCGCAAGGGCGCGCGGGGCAGCGAGTGCGCGGGGCCGCACGGGGCACGCAAGGGCGCGCGGGGCAGGCGACGCGCGTGGTGCTGCGCGGGTCGCACGCTAGGGCGTACGAGGTGGGCGGGGCCGATCGCACGGGGCACGCTAGGGCGTGCGGGCTAGGCGGGGCCGATCGCGAGAGGCACGCTAGGGCGCGCGAGAGTGAGGGAGAGAGGAGGGCGCTCGAGGGCGCGACTAGGCGAGGCGCGCTAGGGCGCGACTATGCGAAAACGGTGGGCCCATCGTTCGGTCCTAGGTGACGACCTGGGCTCGTAATACCATGTTAGAAACTAAGAGAGAACGAGAATAGATGAACTAGCAGAAAGTTGGGTACAAGTAGGAAACCCTAAGTTTGTTGTACCCTAACCAACCCCGAGTCGCCCCCGCATCAATCGCCACAATTCCAACACTCACATGTCCTAGCCAGGACTCGCCCTTTAAGTGCCCGCTTCTTTAATTGTATGGCATTCCGTTAATCATATTGACTATAAAATTCTTGAGTGAACTCTGATACCGGTGGTACAATTTATAACACCTCTTGTCTTGGCGAAACCGATTTTTGTTACCGAAAGCGACGTTGAAACCGACCATGAGATCTACTCCCGCCGAACGCAGCCTCGCGAGATGGGAGAATTCTGGGTTGTGGAGAGGAGAACGTTAGGGTTTCGCTCTCCGGGTTTCTCTCCCCCTTGGAAACCCTCGAGTCTTTACGCTCTCACTGCAGGCTCCTCCAACAGTCATAAGACCTTTCGCAGCTAATCTCTCTCCTCTGTAACCGCTCGTAGGTGTCGATTTTGTCGTACTTCACGCAGCAGAGTCGGTACAGCTGCGAAGCTCTTATAACATCGTCACAGCGCGTATCTTTGGCAAATATGGCTGTCAGTAAGTGTCATACTGGCCCAGGCTATTCCCCTCGTCTGATGACTTTTGAGTCGACTCAAAGTCATCTCGTAAGTGACATGCTGGCCCAGGCTATTCCCCTGGGCTGTCTCCCTGATTAACGACTGACTCTTTCCCAGTTCCTTTCCGTCCCCCCGTCCCTCTGTCGGCGCATCTCCCCTTCTGTAACGCGCGGCGCGGCCAGGAGCGCAGTTCGAGAACAGCAGCGAGGTGGGCGTGTTCTCGAAGCTCACTAACGCGTACTGCCTCACGGCGGTGGGCGCGTCGGAGAATTTTTTCAGCGTCTTCGAGGCGGAGTTGCCCGACATCCCCGTCGTTAAAGCCTCCATCGCCGGCACGCGCATTATCGGCCGCATGTGCGCGGGTGAGTGGTCTAGGCCGCATGTATGCGGGTGAGTGCTCATGTGCGCGGGTGAGGGGAGTTAGCGGCTCGGTGCGGGAACGGGTTTATATGTGCAAACGGATTCTTGCGTGCGGATGGATCGTGCGCGCGAATCAGGAGTGCGCGAATGCGTTCATGTGCGCGGGCGAGGTTTGCGCACGAGCAGCAAGTGCAGCAGGGCTTTGTGCGGGCTTTAATGGCCGCGTGCGCGCCCTTGGAGGTTTTGCACTTTAAGATGGACTTAGAATGGCTCTGGGTGGGCTTTAAGGGTCGCGTGTGCGCCCTTGGTTGGGGGTTGTATGCTCTACGTGCTGAATTTCCGTGTCATCTTGGATGGTTGCGTTGCGTGCAGGCAACAAGAACGGGCTACTGCTACCCAACTCGACGACAGATCAAGGTGAGAGAGCGCGCAGAGGCGACGGGGTCAATCATGCCCTTGCCTTTTCCACCCAAATGCCCTTTCCCCTCCCTCTTCCACCGCCGTGCCCAATTACTCCTCTCTCCCACTCACCCCGTTTCCTCCGCCCTTTTATCTAAACTCATTTTGCAAGCTCTATCTCGCGGCTTCCCTCTCCCTCTCCCTCCTGCCTGCGCGCCTCTTACAAAATTCGCTCCTCACCTCCTTCCTCCATTCGTGATTTTTTCTCCCAGCAAAACCCCCCCGCCCTTCCTTCCCCTCCGCGTCTCCGCCCTGCACACGCACCTTTAGTGCTGCTGCACATGCGTCACCTTCCTCCCTCCCTCCCTCCCCCACCCCCCACCCCTCTCCCCTTCCCCCTTCCGGGCTGCTGTACATGCGTCACCTTCCTCTCCCCACTGCGCCCCCCCCTCTCCCCCCCCCCCCCCCTCTCTCTCTCTTTTCTCCGTTCCCTCGTTGGGCTGCTGCACCTGCGCAATTCCTTGCTGCACCTGCGCAATTCCTTGCTGCACCTGCGCAATTCCTTGCTGCACCTGCGCAATTCCTTGCTGCACCTGCGCAGTTCTCCCTGACTGTGTGAGCTTTGAGTCGACTCAAAACCCAGAACTCCTACCCCTCCCCACCCCTTCAACTCTCCCCCATCAGAGCTGCTGCACATGCGCAACTCCCTGCCCGAGTCGGTGGTGGTGCAGCGAGTGGACGAGCGGCTGTCAGCGCCAAACACACACCCCCCCCCGCTCCCCCCATTCCCCCGCCCCCCCTCGTTCCCTCCCCCATCAGAGCTGCTGCACATGCGCAACTCCCTGCCCGAGTCGGTGGTGGTGCAGCGAGTGGACGAGCGGCTGTCAGCGCCAAACACACACCCCCCCCCCGCTCCCCCCATTCCCCCGCCCCCCCTCGTTCCCTCCCCCATCAGAGCTGCTGCACATGCGCAACTCCCTGCCCGAGTCGGTGGTGGTGCAGCGAGTGGACGAGCGACTGTCAGCGCTGGGCAACTGTGTGAGCTGCAACGACTATGTGGCGCTCATCCACACGGACCTTGATAGAGTGAGTGGCGCTCATCCACACGGACCTTGATAGAGTGAGTGATGGTGACGCCACCACCTTGATAGAGTGAGTCATGGTGACACACGGACCTTGATAGAGTGAGTGATTGTCACACCAACACCCCGCCACTCATTGACCACTCGTTGATAGAGTGAGTGACTGTGACTCCTCCCCCCACTCACCACTCCTTGACAGTGTGAGTGACATCTTCTCACTCCCGCCATCTCCCACGTTCTCTTTCGACTCACTCACTCTCACATGTATCGTTGCACTATGAAGCTCACCCTTCTGCATATTGTTCTGGACGGGTTTCTCTGACACTCAGGTAACCAATCAGAGTAGGTCAACTGGACAGGCCACTGTGTTTCGTGCATTACTCATGCCTTTGTTGTTTGCTGTCGGTGACAAGCCTAGCCCAGCTGCACGTGATTCGCAAGGCAGGCATGGCATGGGTGCAGTGATGAGGATTGTTCAGTGGGTGATCTCACATGCGAGACATGAACCCTTCACTCTGGCTTGTATTCCCTGAGCGCCCACTCGCCTCCTCACCTTCCGTTTCCGCTCTTACGCCTTCACAATATACATGTGGTTCTGCCTGTCACGTTTCTTGTGTGCGTGCCTGCCCGTGCGCTTCCATCGCAAGCCAGGCATGGGTGCAGTGATGAGGATTGTTCAGTGGGTGATCGCACGCACGTGAGACATGAGCCCTTCACTCTGGCTTGTATTCCCTCAGCGCCGCCGCCTGCTAGCCTTGCTTTCCTTGCGCCGCTGGCTGCTGGCCTTCACTCTGCTTTCGGAGCCCGCGCTCCTTCCTGCCACATCACCGTCCTTTTCACTCAAGTTATTCTCGCCGCTGCCATTTTCCAGTAGTGGTTACTGAAGGCATTGATGCCTGTTTGCGCCTCATTCCCTCCTCTCTCCCTCGCTCTGTCGACTGCGGTTCCTACCTCTTGCTGTATTCTTCTGCCTCATGCTGCATTCTTCACCCTACTGCATCCCTCCCTTTTCCATACTGTATTCCTCTCTCTGCCTCGTGCTGCCGCCACCAGCAGACAGGGAACTGATAGCAGACGTGTTGGGGATGGAGGTGTTTCGTAAGACCATTTCTGTCCACTGCGCTTCCTGCCTATTGCTGCGTTAATCCTCGTGCTGCATTCCTCTGCCTCAATACTACATTCCTCACTCTGCCTCTCTCTGCCTCATGCTACCACCACCAGGAGACGGAGGAGCTCATAGCGGACGTGTTGGGGGTGGAGGTGTTCCGTCAGACCATCGCCGGCAACATCCTCGTTGGCAGCTACTGCGTCTTCACCAACCGGGGTGGTCTGGTCAGTCACTCTCACTCTCACTGCCTTTTCGTGTTGACTTTTGAGTTGACTCACAAGTCAGCTTGTTCCGTCAGACCGTCGCCGGTAACACCGGCAGTTACTGCGTCTTCACCAACTGGGGCGGCCTGGTCAGTCTGTCGCACTCCCTCCCGCTGCTTCGTCTCCATGCCACTCCAGTGCACGGCCAGTCTGTAGCACCATGTTTCACAACAGCCGTGGCCTAGCCTATTCTTGCACCTACCCGTACTCACATGCTGGTGTATTGTGTCTTCTTTTGAGGCGCCTCAAAAGTCGTGCTGGTGTATTGTATTGTTGTAGTGGCTCGCGCGTACATCTCCTGTGCACGGCTTTTGAGGCGCCTCAAAAGTCGTCTCTACCCACCTATTTTTTAGGTGCCTACAAAATTTGTGTATTGTATTGTTGGAGTAGCTCGCTCGCGCGTACATCTCCTGCGCATGGATGGTCCCAAGTCCATGGTCAGCCTATGCTTATGCTTACAGCCCCCGTGTGTGTGTGTGTGTGTGTGTGTGTGTGTGTGTGTGTGTGTGTGTGTGTGTGTGTGTGTGTGTGTGTGTGTGTGTGTGTGTGTGTGTGTGTGTGTGTGTGTGTGTGTGTGTGTGTGTGTGTGTGTGTGTGTGTGCGACCACTACCTTTCCACCACCAGGTGCACCCGCAAACATCAGTTGAAGACCTTGACGAGCTGTCATCGCTGCTCCAAGTGCCGCTGGTGGCCGGCACAGTGAACCGCGGCAGTGAGGTGGTGGGGGCGGGGCTCGTGGCAAACGACTGGGTGGCATTTGCAGGGTTTGACACGACAGCCACAGAGCTGTCAGTGATTGACAGCGTGTTCAAGCTGCGAGAGAGCGTGGCTCCCAGCGTGGTGCATGAAATGCGCGCCTCTCTCATTGACACTCTTGTATGACCGTGCATGCCGGCTGGCGGCTAGGATGCTTGCTTGCTAGTGAGTTTGGGATACCAGTGTTCGGATCAGGGCTGACTTTTCGAATAAAACCACTCTGATTTTTTTGGCCCCCCAATTTTTTTTAGTCTTGAGGCCCATTTTCCAAAAAGTGAATACTCTGATTTCTCAGGAACCAGAGAAGTATAACTCTGAAAATTTTATAATTCATAGACTAAGGCAGGTTTTCCTACTAACGAACCTTTTGCACAAGTTCGGAGGGATGGGTTTTCCAAGAAGTAACAGGTATGGCGAAGGGGAGTTCGTACTCTGTAGTATGAAAACTCATTATCCGGTAAGCAAGTTCTCTGAATTTTTCAGTATCGAAAAAACCATTAGTCTGAAGCACTCATTTCTCAAAACCAGCCAACTCTGAAAAATCAGGAATGTCAGAAAAATAGTCTGAAATTTCAGACAATCAGACTAAAATAGTCTGATATCGTCAGCCCTGGTTCGGATAGAGCAGGTGGATGCATTTTAGGGAAATGCATTCATGTGCAGTGCATGAGAGCATGGGCTGTAGTTGTACAAGGTTTTCATGTGCATCGGGCAGATGCAGTGCGGTCCATCCATGCATGCTTCCACAGTGATTCTTGTTATGCCACCACCAGGTGAGGCCATTGAGTGTGCCTGCTCAGTATTGTGAGATGATGTACGCGATCGTGATTGGGTTATGCAATCCCTTCAGTTGTAACAACCAAGGAACTAGTTGGTTGGGTACCATGTCAAATACCAAACTGGACTACACCTTGTTTGTTTCGGGCTCACCAGTTACTACGTTACGTACCGTATAAGGATGCGTTCACAATATAGCACACAAGATTTTACTTGCCAAATAATTGAGCAACAAACGCAAGTGCAGGGTTTACCCCATACAGCTAGCAAGTACCAGCGAAGTATTAACCAACCAATCAAACTAAAGTATCAAGCAAGTCCGGAATTCACATGCGACTTGAATCACGGCCAAACAGAGCCGATTTGATCCAATCAAACACCACCAGGGCTCTTGTCCTCGCACTGACTTGCTTACTGCAAGGAGAGTGAGACACGGGGAAACATAGGTAAGTGAGGTGCTGCGGCATTTCTGCTGCTAGGATTAAGAGACTCCAGTCCACGCATATGAATGCATGCTCCCTTAATACACAGCACACCCACCTGGCGTAGACAGAGCACCAGAGCCACTGTGTGGACCTGCCAACGCTATGCTGACCCAGTCGCCAGACAGCTCCACGTTTCATGAGTCTCTTACCCAAGCACAGGAATGCATGCACCCTAATTGCACAGCACACCTAAGTGCGTGCGTACACAGAGTATTGGACAACACACCCACCTGGCGTAGACGGAGTACCAGAGCGGTCAACTCATACACGTCATCATCAGCACACCCACTTGGCGTACACGCAGTACCAGAGCCACTGTGTGGACCTCCAATCAAAGCACATGCATGCCCCCATACTGCACAGCACACCCACCTGGCATACACGGAGTACCATAGCCATTGTGTGGACCTGCCAATGCTGACCCAGTCGCCCGGCAGCTCTGCTGCTGTGGTCTCCGACCCCAGAGGGGCGAACTGCCCCAAATGCACGTAGCTGGATGCATGTCGGGGGGCAGGGTGACAAGCAATTGGCACAAAGAGAGCAGTTGGGATAGATAGGCAGCTCTGCTGCTGTGGTCTCCGACCCCAGCGGGGCGAACTGCCCCAATTGCACGTAGCTGGATGCGTGGAGGGAGGGGGGCGGGAGGGTGAGAAACAATCAGCACAGATCGAGCAGTTCGGATAAAGAGGGCAGTTGAAACAGATGAAGCATTGGTCAGGTAGATGCGTGAGAGATTGGCAGATTGTCAGAATTCTGTCGGAAAGGCCGCCAGTACCAATTCCTCTTGCTTCCTTTTCCAATTGAACCTGATTCCGAAGAGCGTTGATGAACACTAAGAAACGTCCATAAGACTGAATGTAATAATAATAAACATTCATGGAAAAAAGTACAAGAGTAATAATGATAATGAAAATAGTAGTAATGATAATAACAATAACGATAATCGAAACCAGCTCCACCACATCCCATCCCACCACCCATCCCACCCTTCCGCTCACTGGAAAGGCTGCAGCAGGTGCCTGCCTTCACCTCGCAGCTTGGGCGGCCCCTCGGGCGCTAAAGCCGGGTCCAGCAGGCGGTTGAAGCAGCGAGCCACGTACGGCCCCTGCTGCGCCATCCCATCTCACCACCAACCCTACCACCCACCCCATTCCACTAACCGGAACGGCTGCAGCAGGTGCCCGCCCTCCCCTCGCAGCCTGTGCGGCCCTTCGGGCGTCAACCCCGGGTCCAGCAGGCGGTTAAAGCAGGGTCTAGCAGGCGGTTAAAGAGGGTCTAGCAGGCGGTTAAAACAGGGTATAGCAGGCGGTTAAAGAGGGTCTAGCAGGCGGTTAAAGCAGGGTCTAGCAGGCGGTTAAAGCAGGGTCTAGCAGGCGGTTAAAGAGGGTCTAGCAGGCGGTTAAAGCAGGGTCCAGCAGGCGGTTAAAGCAGCGCGCCACGTACTGCCCCTGTTGCGCCGCCACCAGTGCCGTGCCGTGGCAGGGTCTTCATCTGCCCCTCCACTCGCCGCAGCACCACCTCAAACTGCTCCAGAGACAGCCCCCTGCCCTCGCACGCCTGCTGCTCGCCCCCCTCGTTCTCGCGCACCGCTGAGCCTGCTGGTGCTCCTGCCTTGCTGTCCCCATGCAATGCATCCTGCCAAAGCCCATCCGTGAGGGAATTGGAAACCGGGCAACATGACGAGGGGAGGGGGAGCCGGGCGGGAGAGGGGAGTGGAGAGAATGGGGTGTGGAAGTGGGAGGAGGATAGGATGTGGGTGGAGGGCAGATTGGTAAGAGATTCAACTAATGCCACCAAAGTATGAGTCTACAGCCCCCTCTTGAAATTGTCCCCTCCCCCTGCACCCCCTGCACCCCCTGCACCCCACCCCCCCAATCCATCGCCCTACATCTCCCGGCCCCATATGCTCCAGCATGGGAACAGCACAGCTATAGCATGAGAGCTCAGAGGGTCGTCTTGGTCTCGGGAGAGAGGCACAAGATAGGGAAAGAGAGGCCGCCTTGGTGTACCTGAATGAGCTGTTCCTTGACTTGAGCAGAGCATCAACATTGGTGGTGCTGCTCGCTCCGACTCCACCACCGTCCACATCTCCCGCTCCGCCATGCCGTTCTGTTGCGGGGTGTAGGGGTAGGTCGAGTCGTGGACGATCCCCTTGCCGTCCACGAAGGTGGTGAACTCCTTTCAAAGGAACTCTCCTCCCCGGTCGGAACGCAGCATCAAGACCGACTTCTTTGCCTGCCGCTCAACCACCGCCAGCCACTTCGAGAACTCCCGCAGTACGTCAGACTTCTTATGGACCGGCCTCACCCACGTAGCAGGTCTTGCGGTCCTTCTGCAGCAAGAAGTACAGGCTCCTGTCCTTGGCTGCCACCCGAAACTGCCCGCACAGGTCGATGTGCACGACGACCAGCGCGTCTTCTGCGTCAGAGCCCTTGTCGGGGAAGGTATGCCGCGCCAGCTTCCCACCGACGCACGAAACACACGGAGAGTCGTTGCCGGGCGACGGCTTGATGTCCAGGCCGGTGGCGACCTTGTGCTTAGCCGAGCTCGTGATGGTGTCGACGCAGACATGCGCAAGCCGCGCGTGCCACCTGCCCGGCGTCGACTTCGTCGCTGGGACGATCGCCTGCAGAGCCACCACCGCCGCCGTGGCCATCGTCGACGTCACCGGGTAGGGACGAAGGTCGGCTCAGAGGACCCGGCCGGTATACGTCACCCGACCAAGCACGTCTTCCGCCGCTGAGACAATGAGCATCCCCATCCACGTCCTCCTGCAGCTTCACGCCGTTCTCCTTCAGCTGGCCGGCTGACAAGAGGTCCGCCTGCATGCCTGGCACGTAGAGCACGTCAAGATGATCACCTGCTTGCCGGCCTCCCCTTGTAGTGCAACAGTGCCTCGGACCTGGACGTCCTACAGCTGAAGCCGTGCACGTGCTTGACGTCTCCGCTTGGCTCCAAGTCGACGAAGGCGTCCTTTGTCCCCATCACGTGGTGCGAGCAACTTCTGTCAAGCAGGACCGCCGAGTTTTCCTGCACAGCTGCAGCCACTGCCTGGAAGTCCTCACCAGCCTGGTCGACTTCACAACGCCGACCAGCAAGCATGACGCCTCCTTGTCGTCTCGCCCCTTGCCACCAGAAGAGGAGTCGGCGTCCTTCGCAGAGGTCGACTTGTTCGACTGCTTCTCCTTGCGCGACCTTCTGTCCTGGCGTGGACGATGGCTGGCCGACCTCTCGCGGCCTCACTTGGCGTCGTCGTCGTCGGAGTCACATCGGTCGAAGCACTCGAAGGAGAGATGGTCGGGGCTGTGGCAGATCAAACCCTCCCAATGTCGACTTCCTCCTCCAGGACCTCCATCCTGAGCCGACGTTTTCTTGTCGGCGTGCTTCGCCGGCCTCCCGCTACTGCTTCCACTGCCGCCAGACTGCCCATGCTCCCCCGGTCGGCCACCTTGCTTTGCCGGTAGTTCACCTGTGGCAGTAGCTCCAAGGACCGCTCCGCCTCCTGTATCACCTCGTCCCTTGGGATGTACGAGGTCAAGGAGTCCTCGTTGAGCAACGCCTTCGTGCCTGGCACCATCGACAGCCACTTCATCAGGTTGTAGCTGCTCGAGAGCCCTTCAGGACATGCGTGACGTACGACATCGTCGAGTACTGCACGCTGGCGATCCTGTCAAACTATAATTCTATAGTTTGTGTAGTTCTAGTCTTGGTGTTCTCCCTTGTGTTATTTTGTACTTGCACTAGGGTTAGGTTTTGCATATATCTTGTCTGTACTTTCTGTTTTAGTCAATTTTACATTGTGACATGGTATAGAGCTAGGTTAACCCGAGCGAGTTTTTCCCCCTTAGGAAAAATCACTCGACTAAGTTATGGGCCCACCTAGTCGCGTCCCGTCCTAGACAGCCCGAAGCGCGCTTACCTTAGGACCCCGTCGGCCGTAGACCCCCCCCCCCGTCGCCTGTCGCCCGTCGCTCGTTTCCCCCCGTCGTTCGCGGCCAGATTTTTTCCTGTCACCCGTCACCCGTCGCGGCAGTTAGTTACCGGGCCCCGTGGCCTTTCGTTAGCGGGACCCGCTGCCCTTCGTTAGCGGGCCCCGCGGCCTTTCGACCGTGGGCCCCGAGGCCCCTTCGTTAGCGGCCCCGCGGCCCCGTCGTTAGTCACACCCACGCACAACAGCAGCCGCGCGAACGAGCGACCCGTCGCCCCACCCGTTCCCCACCCTCGTAACCGCCGCCCCACCCGTTAGACGCGGCCCCACCCGCTGCCTTACCCCCCGCCCGATCTGTTAGCCGTCGCCTCACCCGCGATCTGCTGCAGAAAACCGCCGCCACACTAGAAATCGGCCGCCCCAAGAACTGAAGCCCGCTGTTTTAACCGCCCCACCTGGTAACAGCCACCCCAGACCTGTAGCCCGCCGCCCCAGCCATATCTGCAACCCCACCCGCCGTTCTAGTCACCTCACCAAGAATCATCCACCCCACCCAGTACTCTCCACCGGACAGAACCGCACAGAACCGCACCCGCTGCCCCACCCGTTCCAGCCAGAGCTGCTCCCCCACCCGTTCCAGTCACCTCACCCGGAATCAGCCGCCCCACCCGGTACTCTCCAGCCCGCAGAACTGCATAGAGCCGCACAGAACCGCGCAGAACCTCACTGAACTGCACAAAACCGCACAGAACCACACCTGCTGCCCCACCTGTACCAGTCAGAGCTGCTCCCCCACGACCTGCATCCTCTGCCTCAAGAGCTGAAACCCTCCACCAGCAGCACCAGTAGGCGTGACAGCGGTGACCATCCTGTTGCATAAGAAGGGGGACAAAGGCGATTTAGGGAACTATCGGCCGATAACGCTCCTGAGCACGGTTTACAAGATTATAGCAAAGGTGATGGCGAGCAGACTCAAGGTGGTACTGCACAAGGTCATTTCGGAGGACCAGTACGGCTTCATACCTGGTCGGCAGCTGGCGGACGCGGTATCGGTGGTAGCAGATGCCATTGAAGTAGGAGCTAACGGGAAGGAGGATTGGTATCTGATGATGATTGACTTCCAGAAGGCCTTTGACTCAATCTCGCGTGATTACCTGTTCAGCACATTACGGAGGCTGGGTTTACCGGAGGACTTCGTGAGCTGGACGGTGGGGTTGCACAAAGATGCGGGGACATGTCTGCACATCAACGGATGGACGGGGGACAGAGTGGCAGTGGAGAAGGGCGTGCGCCAAGGCTGTCCGCTGGCGCCGTACCTCTTCCTCTGCGCGGTAGAACCGTTATGCCAGGAGATCAGCCGGAAAAAGCTGGGGATCGGAAAGAAAGGCGTGGGAAAACTGGCATACCTGGGATATGCCGACGATACCTCTCTCTTGCTACACGGTGTGGAGCAGCTGGAGGCAGCGGCAGGGGTGTTGTCAGCCTTCGGGGAGGAGTCGGGACTGAGGGTGAACGAGGGGAAAACAGTAATCTTCCCGCTGGGGAAGAACCGGGGGAAGACAGCGCCGCAAAACTTGCGTTACAAATGGGCGGACAAGGAGGAGCCGAAGCGTCTTCCGGGAATCTGGATTACGCCGGGTGGTGATCCGACTCCATCCTGGAACAAAGCATTGGACAGGGCGAAAGGGGAATTAGCGAAGTGGGAGATGCAACACCCAACAACATCAGCAAGGGTTACGATAATTAACAGCTACATCGTGCCGATCTTTCTTTTCCAAGCACAAGTTTACCTGCCACCGGAGGCTATCTGGAAGAGGATCCACAAGCTGTGTCACACCTTCATCTCGAAAGGGGAAGCGGTGGAAGATAAGCGTTTCATCCTCTGGAACTATCGGCTGGTCTGCACGCCGCGGAAGGACGGGGGATTGGGGTTGATCTGCCCCGAAAGGCGGGTCGACAGCATCGCCATCCGATGTGTCTGCAAGCTGGTGCTGAAACCAAACTCGGTCAAGAAATGGCTGGCGGAGAGAGCGGCGGAGATGCCCCTGGGGCTGGACACAATTTTCGCACACAAGTCACTGCTGGACCACTGGAAAAAAGGGAGCGCAAGGTGGAAGGTGTTAGTTGGAAAGTTCTGGGACTCGCCGCTATGCAAAACACGGACTCTAACAAACCGTTGGGAGGTGGAGCAGGAACATCTGGCGTTCAACCCGAACATCCCCTTCCGAGGCGCGAGCCCCTTTGGGAACCAGAAGGGTGCAGAGGCGCTGTTGGGTGTACGCATGGGAGACCTGATTGATAAGGCGCGGGACGGAACGTGTGAGCTCAAGAAACTGGCAGCTCTGACAAGAGATTTAGGTTGCAGGGAGAAGGCGAAGTGGGTGTTGAGGGCCTTCACCGCAGCACCCTCAGTCTGGAAGGAGTTGGTGCTCGCGAAATTGTCAAGCGAAGAGATAGTGGCCACGGTGAAGCTACTACGGTCGAGCAACAGCGCAACCGGAGAGTTTACCTACTGGAAAGTCGGTGGGGCAAGTGGCGATAAAGTGGAGGGGGTATTATGTGATGTGGAGGATGGCGGGCACTTCTCGCCCTACGAGGGAAACCTCACGGTGTATTTCAACCTGCGAAGTGGGGTGCCGATGTTCACGGAAGGAAACGTGTTCCTGGGGCCCATGGGGGATGTGCGGACGAAACTATTGCTTTCAGAGGCGTGCGAAGGAGGGGAGCTAATCTCGCTGAAAGGGATAAGGAAGGTGCTGGCAGAATCGGCTGGGCCACAGGAAGAGCAAAGGAGATGGGAAGGACAGAGGAGGGAGATCGAGTGGGACAGGGTCATTGAGCAGAGGGACTCCCTGGCCACCCCACGACGGGCACGTGAAGTTCTCATACGGCTCCACTGTAGGAACCTACAAGTGGGCTCAAGGCTGTTTTTCATGGGGGTGGTCTGCCCGCACTGTCGGGGAGAGGAAACCCCA